CCCTCATGACAAAACCTGGTACTGGACCAATGAACACAAGGCTAACATGGATTTAGTGTGAGGATATCGCTATTATTTAAAGAGGAATACAAACACAGACAATCATGTATCTTGCAATCATGCATCCTTTTTCCTCTCCTTATTGACTTGTTAATTGCAGGCGGTGGAATGCTGAACCTAATGACTTTGCAGGAGAAGAGGACTGTGGTCTCATTCTCCAGGACGGAACCTTTAACGACTTCTCCTGCTATAAACCACTGCCCTATATCTGTGAACTGCAGTCTGAAGGTTAAGTTATTCTACCTGGCCTAAATACTACTAATTATCAAGATATTAAAGGATTTAAAAACATTTATTGGATAAATGAGAAAAAACTGAACACAAGTACATGTATTAATATATCATTGACCAGTGAAATATGCAGAGTAAACAAATGACAAAACCTGATGTGATATATGGTCATTTATTGCCTGATATTGTTGACTGAAGAAAAAGCGCTTTCTGTAACTATGCAAATATTCTTGTAGTCATTTAATACAATGTACTTTTAAACAGATGCCCCATGTCCAGCTGGATGGATTCCCTCCCCTGAAGAAGACGAATTTAGTTGTTATTACATCAGCAACACCACTCAGAATGTCGGAGCCACGTGGTTCGAATCACGTGATATCTGCCGACAACTTATCACAAATATGGATGGATACCTTTTGGCAATAAACACAAAACAAGAGCTGGTAAAGAAAGAGATTTTATTTATTTCTCTTAATTTTATACACAATATAAACAAAATTTTGCTTTGATTTCCTCATTTATTTGTTATTAGTCAAGAATTGCTACAGTACTTAGGATATTTTCTTCAATTCTTCGACTAAAAATGCAAGCGAGTTTATTTAAAGGTATGCATTCCTAAAGTTCTGATTGAATATTGATAATGGATATCAAAGTTATGCTACCCTGTTACAGACACAAATCTAGAAGAGGATTTACAAACACATTATCTTTAAATAAATTTATAAAAATAAATGATATAAATTGATTATATTCATTAAATATTTTAGTTAAACTCTCTACATGACACACTAACAGAAAAAAAACCTATGAGTGTTTGTAAACTCTGACAAGCTATGTTCAGCCAACCAAATCATGGACATTTAAACCATAAATGTTTCGAAAAATGATTCCTGCAGATTTCTTTAAAAAAAATTATAATTGTTGAACTTTGTATATGACATAACAGGAGTTCATTCAGAATGAACTTAAGACTTCTACCACGGCCTTTGGTTGGTGGACAGGACTAAATGATATGAAAGTGGAAGGAAACTGGGTATATGACACTGACTTTAATAATCCGGTACAACCAGGGCTAATGTGAGTACAATGCTACAGTATTTATGATCATTAATTTACTATTAATGGAGAAGATGTAAAGAAATATGGCATGTGTATTCTGATATTAAAAAAAATCATTCGAATACACCTTTAATGAAGTTGTACTCACTGCTGTTTTACTTTATGACTTACTGCAGACCTTGGAACACAGAACCCAATAACTCCGGCGGGTCAGATTACTGCGCAGTGATTTACTATGGCGGACGATATAACGACGTGGGATGTGACAGAAAGGCCGCCTTTATTTGTGAGACGGACGTCTTTGGTAGCAGCTTAGGTAAAACCATGTCCTAGTACTCTAGACTTCTATTGACCTTGTGTGGAGAGTTATGTAAGGAATTTATTACAGAGCTACTTCCCATGTACGAGCAATGTCCTCCATGGTGCTGGTATTAACCTTGTGTTGAGTACCTAGGGAATGATTATGGGTCTACTTACATGTACATTGCGCTTCAATTCTTGAAAGATTTAGAATGGTAAATAAGAAATATAATATTGTAATGGTTGTTCTGTTTTTTCTTCTCTTTTTACAGGAACAAAGATTGAAATGAATAAATTCTTATTGTTGGTGATATCAGCAGTGCTGTATGGAATGCGTTGACCGAAAAGAACACTGAATCAACATTCCATTACATTAAAATGATACATGCAACAGTCCTGAATAGTGCTTGTTCTATCCTTTTTATAAAAGATATTTGTTCTTTGACCCAGTGTTATCAGAATTCTCATTGTTTTAAAATATTATACATTTCTTCCATGCAAGTAACATGAAGTATACTTCTGTTTCATATGACATTGTTAGTTATTTATTTATAAAAACCGAGTATTTGTTTGTGTTTTGTTAGTTTTATTACGTCATGAATGTAAAAAAAAAATGTAACACATCGGACTTCTCCTTTTATAAAATTGAATTGATTGATACACTGTATATTGTTTTTCATTTTGTTAAATTGTTTACGAATCTTTGAGAATTTTTATACCCCCCGCTTGAAAAGCGGGAGGGTATATAGTTATCGGTATGTCTGTACGTCCGTCCGTCTGCCTGTTACGCTTTGGGGTACCCATCTCTTATCCACAACTCCTGCAAACCTCTGAATGAAATTCGATGAAACTTTCACAGAATCTTTATTACATATTGCCATTGTGCACCTCCTATTTTACTTTTTGATCTGACGCATATTTTGAGTTTCCCACAACAACACATGGACACTCCCATTATATTCATATGGGAGGCGGGGGGTATCATTTAGTGAGTTCAATGCTCACAGTACCTCTAGTTCACTTATATGGAGATGCCACTGCATGCCGATGGAGGACTGCAAATTTAGACGCGCTCGGCACTTGTTGAAGGACGTCTTTGTGATTGCCTTCTGCAACACCGGTTTTTGGTAACGGTCTCATCCGAAGGATGATCTTCACGACCCACAGTACGAGTACCAACAACTTTTACCTTTTTACCTTGACCTTGTAGATTTCCGTACTTATGAAAAAATTTTAACCTTTGCAATAACTTTTGAACGGTAAGGGCTAGGGCTTTCATACTTCACATATGTAATCCTTGTGAGAAGACGCTTCATTGGACAACAGTATTTAAACTGACTACGTAATTATAGATTTTACTCTACGACTGTATATGTTATTTAAATACATCTATATGTAAATAAGGCAACCTGCGCAACAACTCAAAGATTTCTATAGTTGTATATCCAATTCTTTTCAGTACTACATGTACAATGCACATTCTTTGTAATTTTTTTCTAAAATAAAATTTTTAAAATTATCATATTCAAGATACCGGTATTCTGATTGCATTACAGGCACGTAGCATCGTTTTTGAAAGTGGGGGGGCCAACCAGAGAAAATTTTTTTTACTTAAAATAAAATTTTTTTTTCCCTAAAATTTCACTATACTATGGTATTGGGGGGGGGGGGGGCAAGATAATGAACATTTACTATAGTAAAGGTATGTCTGACGTTGCATTACATGTATATGTACAAATACAGAACTTCAAGATACATGTAAACAACTTTCTATGCTCATATGTCAGTAACCTATTTTGTCCTCTGATTCGTCATACTTAAATTGTATCTACTTATCCGACAATGTCATTAGCGACTGCTGTTCTAGGTCGTGCATCAAAGATAACATATACACACTGAATTGATACTTTAATTTGTGAAGTTCATGTCCTCGTTTTCCAGACTGTTTAAGTAATGAATTTAAGACATAAAAAGCGTCAACTGTTCCAACCCATGTTATACCAGTATAACTTGAGTAGCTATTATTATATTCATCCCTTATAATTCAATTTTCTATATATCAGTGTACACGATACGACAATTTTCCTTTAAAAATGAATCAAATATTGAGCATTTTTTAAACAAGGATGTTGAAATCCCTATAATATCAACTTATCAGTGAGTAGCATGCATCACAAAATTTAAAAAAAAAATCGTATTATAGAGCAAGCTCTTGAGTAGCAAATAAGTTGAGAAACAAACACCATAAGCAGGTGATAGTGGAACATTACTACATAAATAGGGATATTTAACGACGGAAATGCCGAAGTCATATCATTTTGTTATTATATTATTTAGTTGTTAGTTGCCTTTATCATATAGTCTATTTATAGTCCCTATATAATCTATACAAACGCAAACAGTTCATAACACTAGCCAGTAAAACATCCAAATATGAATCAAATGTAACATTATTCAAACCTATTTCAGCATCGTCTTACACATAGTAAACGGCACGTTACTTTTTTTTTTATTTTCAAGTTCGCAAATGAAAATGGTGATAAAATGTCCTATTTATTCAAATCCCGACTATAGAATAAAACAATTATGGACTCTTTTGGTATATGGTTTGTTATTCACGAAAATAACAATGGTTAATTGATAAATTATCGTTGATATATCTGAACAATGGTTAATTGATAAATTATCGTTGATATATCTGAATGTCGAATTTCAGTTTTCAGAATTTTAAAAATAAAATCCGCTACATAGGAATATAAAAGCATTTCAGCTAATAAAGGGACACAATTATTAAAAGTATCCATCATATTTCCAACAATTTGTTTGTAAACTTGGTCTTTGGAGTCTATAAATATGTTATCAAAGTGAAAAAACTCTAGCATCCATTTATTATTTTTAAATATCAGCTATCAGGTACTTGTGTGTACATCGTAGATGTTTTTAACGAAGTAATTTTGCTAATGGCTTATCACAGGCTAGATAGCCATGTTAGCAAATATAGTCTGTCAATGAGTAATATTTTGGGCGATACATTTCCACTCATTGCTAAGCTATATTTTTATATCAATCTTGAACACGACAGATTATTGTACTTTATCCTGTTACCCTGATTCGTTTTCTTATACTTATTTTCTGAAATTGATAATTTTTTGTTTTCTTCAATTTTTATATGATATTTATAAAAATTTATTAGATTTATATCAGTAAGTCATTTGATGACTCACAGTTAATATTGCTGGACATCTGGGGCTATTGCGCAAAACTGCAATTACTGGAATGAACATTTATTGTACATGAATAAAGGGAAATGTCACACTACTTTATATGGATTTTTGAATCAGATAAAATTATTATAAAATAAGGTTTACGACATAATTTCGAGTATTACTTTGGTCTTTTTATGCACATCTGGAAGTATAAAAATTTACGTTGTAGAAATATTTTTGTACCTTTTTTTGTGAAGTAAGAACGCAATGGCTAAAAGATTGAGTTTGACAGTTTTGCTTTCCATATCTCTGTTTCTTCTTTGGTCCGGTAAGTAATCTTAAGTAACAATATTTAAGTTATACCCGTATTTTCAAAGAACAGAGCAAATATTTAAAAAAAAATACTTGGAATTAATATGGTTTAATGTTTACAAGGTAGCTTTTTCTTTCTCTTAAATCGATTATTTACTCTCATTAACACGATTTTTATACGATATACTAGATGTATCGTATTTGACTTCGTAAGATTTCATCTATTTGTAAAGAGTGAGTACTGATTTTTCATCTCACGACCCAAATATTCACGTATATTCTTTTTTTTTAATTTTTTTTTGATAATAAAAAAAAATTATTAAAATGCTTAAAGAAGGAAGACATCAAGTTAGGAAACATAAGCTATTTAATTCCTTTAAAAACAGTAAAAATGTTATCAATTAAATAGGCTGATAAGGTGTAAATAAATGGGAAAGGAATTTGAATTATACAGGAGAAGAAATAAAACTGTATTAATTTTTTAAAAATTATAGTTTTCGTAAAGGATGCACTCGATTCCAGTCGTTGAGGGAGTGTATTCCTTGTCATGTTTTCTAAAACTATAAAATAGTAGTTAAAATCATTCCATTTCATTTATACATTTTCAAGTTGAACCACTCCTCTTTCAGACATTAAAAGCATCCACATCCTCTTTCAGATATTAAAAGCATTTGTCTGGTTTTTATTTGAATTTTCTCATACTAAATATTTGGCATATCACTTTTTATTCAACAAAAGCAAACACCAGAGAATTCTCCTAGAAAAAGACATTCAAAGTTACACGAACACCCATCCACATAGGAACAGAAAAGCTCTGTTTAGTCATATTGATATGGAACGATTCTTAGGTTGTAGATTCAGGTTTGTTCAAATTTATTATGATTCTACATGCTCGGGGAAAGAGGAAGGGGCGACATAACTACAAGTTTTATGATAAATGAGAAGCTTGGCTTCATCTTTTCAATCGTCAACTACCCTTACGTACGTAGCAATGTATTCTTATCCCTTGCATATGGGATTCATATGGGATTCATATCTGATTCGTGCTAGAGCATAGGAATAATTTCTAAAGTGGAGTAAGTTATTGAAAATTAAGTTGATGAAACAAGAAGAGCAAAAGTTTTGTTTAAACCCTCCATTCACATGTTCTATGGTCGATAGAATAAACTTGTCGGAAATCATATGGTTAAGTCAAATGCTGATGAATATTTTGTATACAGATTATTAGACTATATTATCTATAGACTAAGTTCTCTAAGAATTTTCCTGTTTTTTTCCTCCGAATGAAGTCATGCAGCGCACAGCGGGTGTGACCGGTTGGCAGGGGGATGCTCACTCCTCCATAGCACCTGATCCCACCTCTAATGTGAAAAAACTTCGTGTTTGCTCTGCTCCTGATTTGTATTGTTTAAATGGACTTTTTACCTTGAATTGTATTCGTTACGTACTTATTACATTTTATTAAAAAAATTACTTTACTAGTTTATTTTACTTACTTTCTTTACGTTTTATTTTACTTAGGACCTCGGGCAGTTGAAGGAGCGTGCAAGTCCAATCCTGCTGGGAACTTATATTGTAATGAGGTCTACTACAGAGACTTTGGGGCGGATCTAGTTTTCATGTGTGAGGACTATCAAGCTAGAAAGGAATGTTGTCTGTATTGTATCGGATACAAAAAGTAGACATTTACCTTTAAGCCCGGATCCAACACTTCAGAATTTGATGAATATAGAACTTTTATGAAATTGCTTTTGCTACACTAGACCATATCTGTCTGTTATTGTCCATGCATTTTTGTTTATTTCTCTCATAGAAGGGCACCAATCAAATTGAATTTTAAAAAAAATTTAATTTAAAAGAAACATGTAAATATGGATGAATAAATTGACACATCAAGTCCGCTGTTACAAGTTGTTGATCACCAAAAGGCTTTATATGATTAGTTTAGAAACTAGATACGATCTCGTTGCGAGCAACGAGAGGTCTTCCGTCCGTTTTAAAAATCGAGCTGAAAAGAGATTCAAAATTTTGGTCACAAGGAGGATTGAAACCATGTCGCCAACGTGAATGCGCTTTTTTTTTTACTTTTATATCCCCAACGCGCTAACAATTAAGCTATTGGGAGTACTGCTCTAAATATACTTGTGTATACCACGGTACTTTTGCAACAGTCTGTCTAAGAATTATAAAAAGCATTCATAATTTCGCGCCAAACGCCACGAGTAAATATTCGCGCCTTTTCTTTGGACTGATCTATTAGATAGGTATGATAGCATCAATTAAATTTTAAAAATGAAACATTCTTAGCGCCTTTATTTTATTTCGACGTTAAAAAAGTATATGTAACACATTATACACATTACATATCGTATCTAGCCCAGTTACACTAAAGCAGTGAAACGGAAATTAAGTTTTAAGATTGACACTCAATTGCAACGTACTACTGTAACGTGTCGGATCTGAGCGGTCAGTAGGTCCGTGCTCGGATTACCGAGTTTTACTAGGGATATGATTGAATGCAATATATACAGATAATAATATGACACCTGCCTGGTGTCTTTAAATCAAATGACCTAAGTGCTTTGTATGATTATATATCTTCAGTTAATACCGGCACCTGCCTTGTGCCATCTGATAATTGCCTCACTATACTCGTATAACTGACTGTATAAGTCAACATCTATCTGCCTGGTGCCTCTTGATTTAGCCTTTAACACCTGCCTGGTGTATTACTGCTTACCAAGCTGCCTATATAACACTAGCCAAGTGGCTACAATATACTTACACAGTATGATTTAACTTTGTAAGAGCTTCTCTGTCCTAATGACAAACCTACAGCTAATGTCACACAACTTTATTTTAACTAGTCACTAACTACAGCAACTTTGCACAATCCATGATTTGATCGTTATACCAATTGGATTCTGTACCAAAGTGAAGACACAAGCCAGTTGGCTGTACTGCCCCCTTGTACCTCAACTTAATCAATGATCATAAGTTATCAGATATCATATTGATAAAATACAACAGACTGCCTTTCTTTTGGCAACAATATTATTATTTTCTAACAGAACATCATTTATCAATAATACTTGTATAATTCTTTTGTCAAATGACCAATTAATTACAATATTTTTATTGATTAGCTATTATAATATAAACAAGTAACGGGACGTAACTCCTCCAACCATTTCACTACTACGCGAGAGTCGAAGTAGTTTTTTACATTTCATGTATCCTTATGTCAGAATCGTTTAATCAAACGCTCAGCTGCCTCCATAAACCCCTACTCGCGAAATGGGGGAGTTGACAGAGGCAGCCGCCATCTTGGGCCCGCTTCAGATTTTCAAATATTAATATCTAGAGTTCAGATTAACCAATAATCAAACAACTTATATAGTAAGCATCAATAGAAAGGTCTCTTTTAATATTCAAAAAATAAATAAAAAATATTGGAAAACAAAAAAGTTAGAAAATACGCTTTTTTTTAATTCGCTTGTCCTAACGACAGGAAGTACTGACGACGAACGAAAGGTCGCGTCCTGGATAGCATATATCACGAACTATAATCCCTGAAAGTTTCACATTTATATCTTCTACCGTTCTTGAGATTAACCGTAGACAAAATGTCATTTTAAAATCAGGAAATGTCCCGTAACTTGGCACCAGATAAGAATTTTCAAAAAATCTCACGGAAAAAATAACTTCAGATAACAATACATAATATCTGTATATTTCATGAAAATCCACCCAGTAGTCTTCGAGAAATTGCGTGCACAAAATTTGGTGTACGGAAAAATAATAATAATAATAATAATAATAATAATAATAATAACTAGAACCGAGCTCGTTGCAAAGCAACGAGTAGGTCTTCCGTCCTGTTTGACCGGAAGTGCATCTGTAACTTTCTTTTAAAAAAAAAAGAGTAATCAAGTTCAAAAATGGTTTAATCCTCCAAATCTATATTAATTAATGCAATATTAAGCCATTTTTGGCTACTTCCGGTTTGACCGGAAGTGACGTCAACGGACGGAAAATTAAGATTTAAGCTTCCAGTGACATATGTTACCCAAAAACCTGTCAAGAACGGCAAAAATAAGCAATTTTTAACTACTTCCGGTTTGACCGGAAGTGAACAAATTTTGACGGACCCATTAGATAAAGCTTGACATTTTGAACAACTTTGCTTCTTTGACGTATTACAAATTCTTAATACTTTTTGAGATATAAAGGAAAAACTTTTGGCCCCTTTCAGCCCTTTATTATAGGGGCCAGCCCCTTATTGTTGATATCTTTCGAAAGATTGTGACATTCTCAACAAGTTTTGTTCTATATGTCTTTACAAAATGTTAACATGTAAAAAGATATTGCAGAAAAGGTGTCAAAAATTTCTAATTCCCTGATAGAACTTTTTTCGAGCCATATCGAGCGCCGACGTGCGGCACTTCTGGAGAAAAAGAGTGGTGTGTGACAAAAGAGCACACGTTGCTCTATCATCGCTGAAAATCTCATGTTTCTGTCTTAAGGCATTTTCGAGAAAAATGATGGACAATGAGACCCCCTGAAAATCACTAAATCGCTGAAATCTCAAAACCGGAAGTGACGTCATCAAAACAAAAAATTATATATCAGGTTTGTTTGATGTTCTATCAGTCCTGAAAGTTTCATGAAAATCGAACGAGCCGTTTCCGAGAAATCGTGTACACAAAATCGGTAAGAAAAAAAAACAATAATAATAATAATAATAATAATAAAAATAGTGGAAAAGAAACCTAAGAATAACAAGAAGGTCTTCCGCTGAAGACGGAAGACCTTAATAATAAGAAACAATAGAATCACTATAAGGTCTTCCGTGAAGACGGAAGACCTTAATAAAAAAAGATTTGTAATTTTTCCGAACGGATGTCACATCAGTTACCCTGTAAAATATGAAGTTATTTTACGTGTTGACTTAGGGCCACTGGCGTTGTGGTGATTGTTTCTTGCAAAGTGACAAAACTTAATGACACGTCTTCAAACTGTGCAAAGGAGCGGTTTATAAGAAGCTTTTGTATTCTTTATGAAAAAACTTAAACTGATCCGAAATAAAGTTAAACAGTTGAAAAAAATAACAAAAATTCAAAAATGCCCTCAAATTGAAGAATATTATATTGTAAACCAAAGAAAAGGGTATGTTATGACATAATAAAATTTATACACGCAAGAGGAAGAGTTAAATTGTAAAAACAAAATGAAAAATAAACGGAACTTTAAATCCCCTTCCTTGTAAATACCATTTTTATTCCTGATTGTGGACATAATCATAACTAAAAACAAATATGAATCCCCTCTTTCTATACAGGTTAAATACCGGTAATAGATTTTTTTAATAAACTTGTTCTTAAAAAGTCGATTCTTATAGATTTCCTCCAATAATTTCGATATAAATTTAATCCCTCATTTTGTTACTACCCTGGCACCTTGGACCAGTATGATTTTCACTTTCCAAGATTATATTTTAGTTTGATTTGAACTTCTGAGATATTGCCCTATCCCCAGGAACAGAATTTACACATGTAATATAGAATGATGCTCATACATGTATAATAAAATGACCATATATTTTAAAATGATCTACAATATTATCAGTTATAAAGGAACCATATGGGCTTTGTTCTTTCAAATTGGAACCTATGTACACAGAGATTCTTAATTATTTGGCCCTGTTGTTTTTGAAAAAAAAATATTTTAAAAATCCTGCATGTTCCCAGTGATTTTATCCATTGTAACCCCATCTATATTCCTCAATGTGTTTAAAAATGCTAATACTTGCTCTAAATCACCTTATTTCGATAATTAATGTTATTGTATAGAGCATTTAAGTACTTTCAAAGGAAACGGGAAGTTTTTATGCCCATTACATTTGAAATGATATTAATGTATTTCCCTGACGTGTAGTTTTTCCATATATGAGAGTAAACTGATTCCTAACAGCCATAATCGACACGAAACTTGTTTGTGATGGAATCCCTTCAAATCAGTTTAATAATATTACTTTTTATGGTGACAGTAGTCGGGGCAAAGAAACGTTTTCATCCCAGTTGTATAGATGATTTCCCAACATTTTATAACAATATCAGTGACTGTAACTTGAGCGTATCTACTGCGTCTGCAGCAGTGTTTTCCAAAAACATTCGACATTACGGTTACAATTTTGTGAGAATCAATCTCCGCTTTAGCAATACGACTGTCCGCTGGACTCGGTGTGTGGTCGAAGCCTATAAATGGATATGGACATACAACGGCACGGATGGCGCTACAGCATATCTCTCTTGGCCAGTGGAATATAATGTACTGTCGTTTGGTCTCCTCGATTCTCACACGCTTCGGGATTTACCAATAGACATCGTCCATCATGGAAAATGTGACAATATGATAATTGGACATCCGGAGACGACGTTTGGCATAGCAAAAGCTTTGGCAAATATGACGAAAAAGCTTGTATCCGATTCAAAGGATATGAAATATGATAGCAGTGTATGGTGCTATAAAGAAAGAATTTTTGTAAATGATGAAAAATGGACGATGTGTCATTATGCATTTTGTCCATTTGAATCCTTAACTTACATGTGTTGTAGCTGGGAAAACTACGAGAATAATGAAGTAAAATGCGAGAAAAAACAAAGACAACTGAAATGGTTTCTTCCCTTTTTGTTGGGATCGCTTGTCTATCTCTTTTCTCCCATTGCTGTTTTTGGTATAGTTGGGTTCTTATATAAGAAATGTATTCCAGAAAAACAAAACCGTTTGAAAATTGGGAGAGAAGTTTCGGTAGATTATGGAACATTTCGAGGCTTAGCATATACTTATGTTCATGGACAAGAGATATCAGATTTCGATATAGACAGGGATGAAAACGTAATTTTTTACAACCCAATACAATTCAGTTCTATTTTTGAGTGTTTTCAAATCAATGCCTGCTGTTCGTCGAGGAGATACCTCCGATGTTTCTTCCCTGTTGCCTGTCTTTCTGTTCTCACCATAAAGCTGATTGTTTACAAATACACAGAGAAGGACTTCGTCGTAGAGAGTGTGAGACAAGGTGTTCCCATGGGATTTCTTTCCATGCTAATATCAAACATTACGGTTCAAAGATCTAACTATTTGTACCATTTCTACGGACCCATCCCAGCAATCGTACTATTTGTGTGTTTTTCGCTGTTGTTCCTATGTGTTCCAAAAGATCTGAGCACATTTCTTACAAAGGGATTAATAGAGAATAACGAAGGAATATCTATTTCCCCTTTAACAAGTGACATTAGTATCAAAACCAAGTACGGTTCTCTTCAATCTGTCCGTAATATCAATGGATACAAACAATTCAAAATGATACTGGTTTCCCATTTTCTAATGTTGTTAAACATAAAGTTCTGGAAATACTGTTTAATCATCCAGATGGCCAGATGGCGTTCATTTTTTCCAAGAAAATCAGGATCTTTGCAATTCCTTAAGATTCTATCATTTACATTTTACTGTACCGTGTGCACTTTTGAATTGGCTCTGTGTATTTTATATTTCGGAATACCAATAGTTTTCTTATTCGTTACCTGTGTAAGGACCTATTGCGGTGCGGTTGCATACTCCTATTGTTATCGATCCACTTTCATCCGGGTCCTCAAGCACGTGATGACTTTTGTGGTATTCCTTATACTGCTGCTTCTACTGTACTTCTTCAGTATTATATTCATCGACAGTTTCGTCTTTATTTCACAGATCCTGACGTACACTTACACCGGCCTGTTCGCCAATCCTGATTTCTCCTATGGGTACGTCATTCTCGCAGTCACTGTCATTATGTACATGTTTGACAGCATCAACTTTATTCACTCTGTCTATGACGACTTGTTTGTCCAAGTTCGAGACGTTTGCGAGAAGCTCAAGACAGAAAATAAGTATCCGGGAATTCCCCTAATTTATACGGTGGACGAATTTCATGGTATCCCGAGAAAGCTATTTTCTTATGTCATTCAAACAACCAGACCAATTCGGAGAGAAATATTTGTTTCTGTTTTGAAAATTGCCTTTATTGCTTCTGTCCTGTCGGTTTCGGTAATGGTGCTTTCAGATTTCCAAGACTTCAGACGTATGTCGGATCTAATGCAGGCTGCCATAACGCTATTTGTTTGTCTGGTTCCCAAAATAATCAACAGTGTTTGTCAAGTAAACGAAACAAAGTGGAAAATACACAAATCCCTAAAACTGAAAAACGCTGTTCACTATTTCTGCAGGAGAGAAATGAGAAAGAAAACTACAAACGATTTAACGACTGTTGTAAATTGCATTTGATGAAAGTTTATACGAATATTTTGGAAAGAGACAATTGGAACAGAACATCTCACCCGAGAAAATCATGTTAAGTGAGCATGAACCGCTAAATGTGTGACCTTTTGCTTTCTTTATTTCTTTTTTGGTCGTATCTTTATAAATGGTTTGTATTTTTGTATCTAATTTTTAATATCTAGTGATTTGTTAAATGAAAGTACAAAAAACCCATTTACGATCGTATGCTTGTATATATGTATTTACTTTAGCCTATTAATTATAAAGGAGTCTATTGGAATCTATTGGAATTCCCATGACTACCGACTGCGCTCCGTTATTAACTGACCAAATTTTGTATTCAAACAGACTTTGTGCAAAATCTTATGCGTGAAAAGAAGAAAACACTTGCTGTGGCCTTCAACTCAACGTTTAGATATATCGACGACATATTGTTCATTAACAATGGTAAATTCCATTTCTATGTCGATACGATATATCCTGGTGAGTTTGAGATAAAAGATACCACAGAGTCTGACACATCTCTTTCATACTTGGATAATTTACTTGAAATAGACGTTAATGGTAATCTAACAACCAAGCTCTATGATAAACGTGATGCCTTTAACTTTTCTATCATCAACTTCTCTTACTTATGCAGCAATATACCTCCATCACCTGCAAACGGAGTTTATATATCTCAGTTGATTCGATACACAAGAGAATGCTCTACGTATGAACAATTTCTAAAACGAAGATATTATGACAAACAAGTTGATGAATCAAGAATGTCAGCAGTCTCGTTTAAAGTCATCAGTCTGCAGTCTCGTTTAAAGTCATCATTTGATACAATGACCTCGTCAGCAAATACAATTTATCATTGAATCAAATGCTGACTGACGTTTTTTCATACTAATTGTTAGTCCATTATTTATACACTTAAGGTCAGACAACATGTTCCTCAAATATATGTTTTGTATCTCTTGGTATTATATAAAAAATATTCGTATTTGTCATTCTCTTCTGATTTCTACATTGTTTTCAAAATGGATTTAAATATAAGTACACAAAAAATTGTGATATAGGTCATTCAGAAAATTCCCATAAGGATTATATATAAGAAATATAACCCTGTGATATCTTGTCCGAATTCCTGGTAAAGTACCCCAATTTTTTGTGATGAAACTTATTTGAGTATCCATACTTCATTGAAAAATTCTAGGGGAAAATTATATATTTTTGGGGAACGTGTCCTCTGACCTTAATTCACGTCGGTTTTTTCCGTTATTTCCCAACAAAGAGCACACGGCAGGCGTGACCGGTCGGCAGGGGATAATCATTCCTCCATGGTACCTCATCCCACCTCTAGTGTTTTGGAGATCCGTGTTTGCTCTGCTCCTATTTTGTATTGTTTTATGGACATTGATAATGAATACAGTTCGTTATCTGCAAATGCTCCATAATTCAAACATATGTAATTATTAAAAAATTGAAAATATTATGCCAATGTTATGGAATTAAAAAATGTCAAATTGAAATTTGCATAAATCAATAGGGTATGCGTAAATATTTTAAACATGCTTTTCAATTATAAATGCTGACAATTAAAACTGTGAATCATATCCAAATTAACATGGAAATGGAATGCAATATTGATACAGTGAAAATATGTGGGGAATTTAAAGAACATAGCTAGATATGTCCTTGTAATTTATCAGATTCTTATGCACAATTAATGAGTTAGAAATAAGTATGAAGTACTTTTTCAAACAAAACATGCACATTTCAGTAGCTTGCTTCTTCTGTCGCAGTCATTGTAGTGATTAGATCTGGCGGAGAATTCCTCAAATATACAAATGGTTAAATCCTTTTGGATGAATAAATTATATGACAAACGAGATGACCACAGTTTTTTCATCGTCAACTTTCCTTATGTACAAAGTAATATTCCACCATCACCTCCTTATGGTGTTTATATTTCCCACTTATCCCTTACTCAAGAGCTTGGTCTAAGTACGATCAATTTTTAAAGCGAGACATGCTACTCACTGATACGTTGATGTCATAGTGATTTCAACAACCTCCTTTAGATTCAGCATTTTGTAAATTCAATTATGGTCATTTTATTGGCCTTGTTAGCAAAAAAAGCCTATCACTGGGTCGTATCAGTTAGGGAATAACTATCTTCTAATTTGGCATTTGCGACCGTTAATGCTGATTTAACGGTCGCAAACTGAGTTTTACCATTGACGCGTAAGCGGAGACGGTAAAACGGATGTTTGCGACCGTTAAATCAGTATTAACGGTCGCAAATACCAAAATAGAAAATAGTTATTTCCATTCTAATGTAATCTATGAATTCTGTTTGTTGTTTACGTCTTATTTTATTGAGTTTTATGACATGAAATAGTCACGGAGCATTATGTTTTTGCGTCGCTCTATTATGATGTCACAATGAAAAGCTTTCACTCTCGTTAATGCTCGTTTTACTGCTTCAAAAATCAGTGCATTAACCAATCAAAATGTGTTTTACAAAATATTTGCATTAGAATAAGGAATATTCATCGTATCTACAACTACCATGAGATTTGCCCTATACGTTTTAAGGTTCTATTCGACAAACCCATGACTTTCACTGACATGCTTTGCGAATGGCAAGTGAGTAAGGCGCAAAGGATGGCGATAAGGAGCCATTATTTATTTACCAGAGAAGAGGAAAATTTCCTTTTTACATTTAACCTAAAAACAAAGCCTGATATGAAAATTGAATTATATAAGCAAAATCCGACTCAATAAAAGGATGTATTTTTTAACAAGATCATTCTAGCATTTATAGAATCAACGAAAATCTGACTCTTCAAAGGTCATAGGAAACACTTCTTAACACTAGAATTTCACTTCTTAAACCTAAAGCTATATATAAAAGAATGTTGAATTACAAGTAGTAATATTTTTGGCATTTGTTCTACTGAAAATAAAGTTTTGACTATTCCACTTGTTACTTATTGTCCTGAATTCTATGGTTTTATGACGTCACAAAGGCACACTGTTGTAAACAGAGTATTGCACATAATGTTGATTTACTCCATTTTATCAAGTTAATTTTATTTATTTTTGTGAAGATAAACGTTTGTCTGTATTTACAAATGAATAATCTGATTTTGTAGGTCAGTCAATTCACAATGAACAAGTCGTAATAAGGAACGGCAACTGAAAACGTGGTTCTTTTTGGAAGATGATCGTGGTGAATATCCTACAAAAATTACGCTTTTACCATTCAAATATGATTTCTTACGCTAAATCAAAACTTAAGAGAAAGAATGAATATCATTTTCCCGGTTGATACATATCAAGAGATTTTTGTCGTCTTTAAAAAGAAAAAAATATATGAAGATAACGAACAGTATCAATGCTCAAAAGCCCATTAATGAAACATATGAGGATAACAAACAGTCTTCAAGATCAAAAGTCCATAAAACAAAACAAAATAGGAGCAGAGCAAACAGGGACCTCCAAAACACAGAGGTGGGGTCAGGTGCCATGGAGAAGTGTGTATCCCCTGTCGCGACCGATCACGCACGCCGTGTGCTCCTTGTCATGATCGGGAAATAACGGAAAAATCCGTCGTCAATATAGTGTATAAATAATGGACGAATGATTAGTATGAAAAAACGTACAAATGATAAAACATACAAACGTATTGAAAATATGCAATGAATTTTAATTATACAAAAGAAATACTAGCCTATTTGATTGATTGATTGACTGTATATTGTTTAACTTCCCATTTGAGAATTTCCCCCTTATATAGAGATGTCACCGTATGCCGGTGAAGGGCGTCAAATTTAGACTTATACTCGGCACTCAGGGCCATTGAGCAGTGAGGGTTCTTCATCGTGCCAACGCCTACCGTGACATTGGACCTATGTTTTTAAGGTCATATCCGAAAGACCCGTGACTTTCACTTCCAGTGCCGAGCGCTTGGCGAAGGAATAATCACTACCTTTGTTTACGTCATAGGTTTGACGCGGCTTCGGGAACGAAAATCGCTCTACCACTAGGCTATCGTGACCGGTACCAGCTTATTTGAAGATTGTATGATTATACAATATATGGCATTTTGTAAACATTGCACAGCTTTGAACAGCGATGGGACCTTTCTGATGTCATAGGATTAGAGAGATAGGCAACGTAAGATAAAGCTCATTTTTATGATCGAGTACTTTTTAATGACCGTAGAATTGCTACCTTGGATATTTTTTTAAAAAAACATTTCGGACCTATTTTATCGACTCAGGTAAATTTATTCCCGTATATTACTTAATATGTTAAAGTATTTGTTTCCTGTGACCTTTAAACAAGATTGTTTATATCCTTTATACAGCATTATTAACTAGTTGACTGTCTCGGATTAAAAATATGATGGTACTTAGGGCATTCCCTTCAGTATCAAACGAGTTGGCACATGCAAGGGATTGTGGAATGTTATCAGATAAATAAGACAATTGCTGATATCATTTTGTTTGTCGTACTGATTAGGTGTTCATTGACCTTTATCATCCATAGTCTTACTCCCAAATATGCATCAGATGTGGCATACTTTACCGTGTCCTTAATTTCGAGTTCAATAGCCTGGCATGTATATCAAGTCGCCATATTAAAGGGAGTTACTATTTGAAGGCAACAGTAAGTGTTTTCTTCCTCTTGGGTAGAAGTTTGTGAATAAATTTTGCTTCGTATGAATTCCATATTTTCTGATCGTATAGTGATCATCATATGCGAGAGTAAACCGATTCTTGACTGCCATGTTATAATCGACACGAAACTTGTTTGTGATGGAATCCCTTAAAATCATATTGTTTTTCACGGTGACAGTGGTCGGGGCAAAAGAAAATTTTCAGCCCAATTGTGCGGATGATATCCCTAAATTTTATAACAATAGCAATGACTGTAACTTGAGAATATCTAATGAGTCTGCAGATTTATTTTCCGAAAACATTCGACATTACGGTTACAATTTTGTGACATTCAATCTTCGCTTTAGCAATACCACTGTCCGCTGGACTCGGTGTGTGATCGAAGCCTATAAATGGGTATGGACATACAACGGCACGGAAGGCGCTACAGCGTATCTCTCCTGGCCAGTGGAATATAATGTACTTTCGTTTGGTCTCCTTGATTCTCGCACACTTCGTGATTTACCAATAGACATCGTACATCATGGAAACTGTGACAATATGATCATTGGATATCCAGAGACAACATTTGGCATAGCAAAAGCGTTGGCGAATATGACGAATAAACTTGTATCCGATTCAAAGGACAGGAAGTATGATGGTAGTGCATGGTGCTATAAAGAAAGAATTGTTGTAAATGATGAAAAATGGACTATGTGTCAGTATGCTTTCTGTCCATTTGAATCGTTAACTTACATGTGTTGTAGCTGGGAAAACTACGAGAAGAATCAAGTAAAATGTGAGAAAAAACAAAGACAACTACAATGGTTTCTACCTTTTTTGTTGGGATCGCTTGTCTATCTCTATTCTCCAATTGCTGTCTTGGGTATAGTTGGGTTCTTATATAAAAAATGTATTCCAGAAAAAGAAAACCGTCTTAAAATTGGGAAAGAAGTTTCGGCAGATTATGGAACGTTCCGTGGTTTAGCATATACTTATGTTGATGAACAAGCGATTTCAGATGTCGCTATAGATGGGGATAAAAACGTAATATTTTACAACCCAATACAATTCAGTTCTATTTTTGAGTGTTTTCAAATCAATGCTTGCTGTTCGTCAAGGAGATACCTCAGATGTTTCTTTCCTATTGCCTGTCTTTCTGTTCTCACAATAAAGCTGATTGTTTACAATTACACAGAAAGGGACTTTGTCGTTGAAAGTGTGAAACAAGGTGTTCCCATGGGATTTCTTTCTATGCTTGTATCAAACATTACGCTCCAGAGATCTAACTATTTGTACCACTTCTACGGACCCATCCCAGCAATCGTACTGTTTGTGTCTTTTTCGCTGTTGTTCTTATGTGTTCCAAAAGACCTGAGCACATTTCTGACAAAGGGATTAATAGAAAATAACGAGGGAATATCTTTTTCGCCTCTAACTAGTGACATTAATATCAAAACAAAGTATGGTTCTCTTCTATCTGTCCGTAATATCAATGGATACAAACAGTTTAAGATGATACTGGTTTCCCATTTTCTGATCTTGCTAAACACAAAGTTTTGGAAATACTGTTTTATCATCCAGATGGTCAGATGGCGTTCATTTATTCAAAGAAAATCAGGATCTTCGCAAGTTTTCAAGATTCTAGCATTTACATTATATTGTGCCGTGTGTGCATTTGAATTAGTTCTGTGCATTTTATATTTCGGAATACCAATAGTTTTCGTATTCGTTACCTGTGTAAGGACCTATTGCGGTGCAGTTGCATCATTCTATTGTTATCGGTCAACTTTAATCCGGGTCCTCAAGCACCTGATGACTTTTGTAGTGTTTATAATACTTCTGCTCCTGCTGTACTTCTTCAGTATTATATTCATCGACAGTTTCGTCTTCATTTCACAGATCCTGACATACACTTACACAGGACTTATTGCCAATCCTAATTTCTCCTATGGATACGTCATTCTTGTCGTCACTGTCATTATGTACACGTTTGACAGCATCAACTTTATTCACTCTGTCTATGACGACTTGTTTGTCCAAGTTCGAGACGTTTGTGAGAAGCTCAAGGCAGATAATAAGTATCCGGGAATTCCCTTAATTCATTCGGTGGACGAATTTCATGGTATCCCGAGAAAACTATTTTCTTATGTCATTCGAACAACCAGACCACTTCGGAAAGAAATATTTGTCTCTGTTTTGAAAATAGCCTTAATTGCTTCAGTCCTGTCGGTTTCAGTAATGGTGCTTTCAGATTTCCAGGACTTTAGACGGATGTCGGATCTAATGCAGGCTGCCGTAACGCTTTTTGTTTGTCTGGTTCCCAAAATAATCAACAGTGTTTATCAAGGAAACAAAACTAAGTGGAAAATAGACAAATCCATAGAGCTAAAAAACGCTGTCCACCACTACTGCAGGAAAGAAATGAGAAAGAAAACTGAAAATGGTTTTATGATGACTGTTGAAAATTGATGAAATTTTATACGTTAAGTTTTTGGGAAAATTATTTGAGCTGAAAATCTCACTCAGATTAGATCTTGTTAAAGGGGCTTGAATATAATGCCTAATTTGTTACTTTTTCTATTTCTATTGTCACACTATTTCTTGACTGATCTCTTCTCCAACCGTATCTTTTAAGGGCATGTATTTTTTTTCCAATTTTTCGGAAGTTTCAAATGCAAAAATCACCCGTGGGGCGCAGTGGTTTAAGTGTCTGCTCTAGTAGTATGAAGTAAGTAGTTGATCCTGACGTCGGGGTTTGAATCCCACTTTGGGACGTGTAGATCGGTCCATCGGCTGAGACCGTATAAACCGAGATTCCATGTCGCAGTAGGTACTGGCACAAAAAAATCCTCCCTGCCCAATGGCCCCAAATGTCGAGTATAGGACACAGTTTGCAGCACTCCACCGGCAAATGGTAGCGTCTTCATAAGTGAAAAATTCTCGAGAGGGACTTTAAACAATATACAATCAATCAATCAAGCAAATGCAAAATATTATTCTAAGTATGGCTAATAATAATAGGAATATAATGCAATATTATTTCTAATATATATTCCAAGATCTCTGATTGGCACAAACTTGATCACATAAATAAGTATATAGCTTAAGACTTGAATTACTTTTTATGAAATATGATATACATATCGACTTGATGTCTCTTAAAATGGAGAAAATTTTCTGTTAAAAAATACTGATATCACAACTGTGGCTAATACAGTCTTGACTTGATGTTTCTGAAAAATATTAGATATTAAAACTTAATATAATGTCAAAATATATAAAATGACAATGTTCATGGAATCAAAAATGTCACACGCATATTATAATGTGGATAAATCAAAGGATTGTGCATAAATATTTGAAATATGTTTTACAATTTCAAATTCAAGTGAAAATTAGAATTGTGAATCAAATTAATAATATACATAAAAATGAACTACACAATTAATGTAGTGAAAATATGTGGAAAGAATAAAAAAAAGAACATTGTAAGATATGTCATGATAATTTATCAGTCGCAAATAAACAAAAAAATGAATAAGAAAATAAGAATGAAGTATTTAAAAGCACATATACAAAATATGCCTAACTCAATAGTTTTTTCTGAAGCAAGCATGGCGTAATGATTAGATTATTTGCTCAAGGCTGGCGGATGTCTTAATTGTAATATATGCCAAACGAGATAAACTTCGCTTTCTCACAGTCAGATTTCCATATTCAAGTCAGCATTTCGTTATTTCCATCATGATAATGACCTTACTCACAAATATAAACTACCACTAAGTCATGTCAGAACGGAATATTTACAATTGTGAAATTTGGCCTAAGTTTTAAGGTTTTATTCAATACACTCGACACTCGTGACTTTTACTTTCTATAGCTGGTGTATGGCAAAGCAACAGTCGTACTTTTTTTTTTATTAACTGAAGTATTTAATTTTTATTTACGGTATAGCAAATAAAAGTATCAAGCTTTACAGTGAAAAATACATCAACGCTTCAAAGTTTACAAAAATAAAAAATCCTTTTGACGAAAAAGTACTTTTTATGTATAATTATTTGCACTGCTTTGATAACCAGTTTGATAATTTTCTCAAACAACTGAATTCCACACCTATGTGTATACCCCCCTCCTCCGCTGTACATCCGTCCATTCGTCCCGTCTGTTAGGCTCAGGGGTACCCATCTCTTATCCGTTACCCCTCTTATACCACCAAATTAAATTAAATGACACGGGATTCTTGTCACAGAGATCCATTTTGTGCTTCTTATTTTACTTTTTGATCGACACATATATTTAGTTTACCATATCAAAACATGGACACTACCATACTTTCACCCCAAACACCCCCCCCCCCCAAGGACTTTGCCATTATAATCGTATAGGAGGGGTATCATTTACTAAGCTCAGCGATCACAGTTCCTCTAGTTTCAGTTATACTCATAAAATAACATCCAATTATCGATAAGTACAATAATGTGCCGGGTTTTTATCATTCATACGAGCTGTAATGAGGAAACGTGACTGCAAAATCTGATATCGTCCTTCCTCAATTAAATACTGCCATTCTACGTATACGTTACATTCATATGGAATGTTGAAAGTTGTATTTCTAATTTTGACAATATCTCACTTTTAAAAAGTCATGGTAATGAATGTTCTAATCAATTAAATAAATCATCTAAACAAAAAAAAATATGCATATGGCACACAAGTTCTAGAGGAAGTAAGCATTCAAGGATCCCATTTTCCATAAAATATAATAATAATAATTTTAAATAAAGTAATAAAACCTTTGAACAACTGGGCAATATCGCATGTTATAACTAAAGAAAACTTTATTTTTAAAGTGAAACAGTTAATTGTACTGATTATAAATTGCAGGATTACTTAAAATTTCCTTGGAAAAAAACACAAAGACCACAGCTTTACAAAATTAAAAGAAACAGTGCATATTCTCTATACATTGAAACAGGCAGATGTTGTAAACGAACAATTCCTAAGGAAAACGTTTATGCTATGCTGTTAAAATATTAATTGCAAAATGAAAAAAACATGTTGTTCTTTACCGTCCTGGTATGGCAATCTTGGATTTCAATAATGTGATATTTTTTATGACAAGATGTGTTCGTGAAACAATTTGCACCCGGCAGCAACAAAGTTCGAAAAAAGATATTTTTAGCATATAGGTCAATGTCAAATCCACAAGGTCATTGACCTTGGTATTATTTGAAAGAACTTTATTAGTGGAGTATGCATACCAAATATAAAATCTCTATCTCTTATGGTTCAAAAGTTATGGTGAAAGTTCAAAAAAGCTATTTTTACCATATACACTCTAGGTCATAGTCAAGGTCACAAGGCCATTGACATTGGTGTCATTTGAAAGACCTTAATGAGGAAGTAGGCATACCACATATGAAGTCTATATCTTTCATGTTTCAAAAGTTATGGCGAAGGTTAAAGTTTGAAGACAAAAAGGCTATTTTAGCATATAGATCACAGTCAAGGTCACAAGGTCATTTACATTGGTATCATTGGAAAGAGCATAATTAGTAGAGTAAGCATACTAAATATGAAATCCCTATCTTTCATAGTTTAAAAGTTACGGCGAAGGTTAAAGTTTGCAGAAAAAAGTTATTTTTAGCATATAGGTCTCAGTCAAGGTCACAAGGTCATTCACATTGGTGTCATTTGGAAGAGCTTCATTAGTGGAGAATGTATACCAAATATGAAGTCTCTATTTTTCATGGTTCAAAAGTTATGACGAAGGTTAAAGTTTGTAGACAAACAGACAGACAGACAGGACAAAAATAATATACACCCCGGATTTATCCATGAGGGCGCATAATAAATCATAATGCGCACTGATCCCATGAAAGAAATTGTTAACCCATGTAATCATAATGCTACAAAACATTTATGTAACTGCTTAGATAATTGCTTTATGCAGCGAACACAAATCAGGGAATATGGAAATGATGAAGAATTGTGTAAAATTATATTGCTTGTAATTATCATTTTTTCTTCTTTCTGTTGTACATGTATGTCATTTGATTTCTTGTTTTGACTGTATATCATAATGGTGATATCAATAAATAAATTGAATTGAAATAGTTATCAATCCGCCAAATTCAGAGGATTATATGTCCTTTTAGTGGGAAGGATATTGATCAAACTGGGGAATAATTTTAAGCTTTATGTATATGCAAAGACCCTTAACATATCTGTAATTATCACGTTGGAAAGAGGAATTTTTATGACCAAGTTTCCTTGTACACATAGATTATGAGGAAAAGGGAAATTATTTAAGTAAATTTTGGAGTTATCTTTCCTTAAGCAATATTTTTCTTCTTTCCGTTTTTACTTAGGATAATGTTTGGAGTACTGAGTAATGCATTTAGAATTAGGAAATACATAGAAAATGGATCGTATGGCTAATTCATATTCATGTTTATTTAAGTCTAAAACTTAAGTAAATGATATTTTTATATTTAATTTGTAATGATTGTCATTCATGACAGAATGATTTTTCATGTAGAATAGAATATGACTGTTAAATGTTATATCGAGTTTTGAAAAATCACATGTATATCAACGTTTATATTATATAAGTACTGAATAAAACCAATATCTCAAAATATACTTAATTATAAAATTGCCTATATAGGCTAACGAGTGTCCTATAGAAATAAGCATATTATCAATCATAAAATCAAAGTTTAAGTGAAAGTAAAATACTTGCATATAGTTATATGCTTTAGTATATATATGATAAGAATGTATTTTTCTCCCATTCGATAATTTATTTGAGACCGAAGCTATATATCATATCATTTTAACTGCCATGAACACGTCCAATATATGCCTTATTATTTTTTCAGAACAGTTATTAGTTCTGGATATCACATGGAAATCAAAATCTACAAAATCTACAAAGTTTTTCGTTTTCCTGTTTTCTTTTAAATCTTTATATTTTTCAAGTCGGAATAAAATCAGAAACTTAGTCTAATTTTGTAATAGAATCCAACTTAAGGATTCGTGATAAAGGTTTAAAAATATCTATCTGGTTACGATTTAATTTTTCCGTATTTTTAAGAGCCACGTTAAATACAATTCCCCAGGTGGACACGAGAAGAAGGCAATTATTGATTGAGGAAAGATTACTACAAATACACTTCTTCGTGAAAAATGGAGTGTCCCATCAAAATACTAAAGGAAGCCTGTATGGTTTGAAAAACTTACATTTCCAATACAATTTTGAAATCAAAGAATTAAGTTCACTGCATAATCATCTTTTAAATTAAAATACATTTCAAAATGTCTAAAACTGACAATTGTACGTAAGATTTTTCCACAAGGAGTTATCTTTGTATCCTTTAGTTTGGTTGTCAATGAAAAATATGTAGATAACGAACAGTATTCAAGATCAAAATTTTATTAAACGATACAAAATAGGAGCAGAGCAAACAGGCACCTCCAAAACTTCGGAGGTGGGATCAGGTGCCATGAGTATCCCCTGCCGACCAGTCAAACCCACCATATGTTCCTTGTCACGATCGAGAACCAATGGAAAATCCGTCGTCAATTCAGTGTTTAAACAAGCTAATTCAGAGAATTCGTGTCCCCCGCTTAGGGAAAAAATCGGATCCCCCTGACTGAATTTGTAGAATTATTAAATGTATACATGTATACTGAAGCAAATAAAATACAAGTATGACAATATACATATAAAGATTTGATTGCTTATTCTTTATTATGTGTATAGAAGATTCTTTTTATATGGAATATTTATCACACTGTAATGATGATTTTATAACCTCATAAATTTTTCATTTCACATGCTGAATACTATCATTTAGTAAAAAAAAAAGAAAAGTATTTAAAAAAAAAAAAAAGAAAGGATCGGCCGAGATTCGATCCCGGGACCTCTTGCACTTGAAGCGAGTGACATAACCACTAGACCACGGAATCGCTTTACATAGAGTAAAGTATATGCAGAATAGAAGTCACATACATGTAATATTCATAATTCTCAAAATTTTACACAATCCATGGTGTTTTATTTATTTAGCCTTTATTAAATAGTTCTAATAGATGTAATAAGAACATAAAGTCCGCCGAGAACCTGTTTTATACGCAATAACTCTCCTCATGCCCCTGCGCTAAAAATAGCGACATGTAATACTATAAATACTAATAAAACAAACGGGGCGGGGCACTTTGAGAGGGGCGAGAGACGTCCTAGGGAGTTTTGGAATAAAATTACATTGCATAAGCTCAAAATATTCTTGAAATATCGCCCGGAAATGATAGTGTTACACATAGACAGAATGTATAAATTTACGACCTTGAACATTGACCTTTTGACCTCAAAATCAATAGGGGTCTTCATTAGGCCACAGGGAGTTGTTATGTAAAATTTC